ATCAAAGTAATAATAATAATATAAAATTAAAAATCTAATTTGAATAAGTCAATGCAACACTAATCACATTCAAATTTTTAAAGTCAATAACAAGTACTTCTAGAGTTACATTACTAAAAATGACATAATCAAGTTACTAATAATCACTTGTCCAACCAAATTAATAAGAAAAAACAATGCAATTTCAAACTAGTTAACAAGAAAAAGTAAAAAGTCACTGATTCACTACTAATGTGTTCACTAATATCTTCATCTGATTTATCAACATCATCTTCACTTGGATTATCAGTTTAACTATTGGCTTGGGGTGGATGAGAAGATGCAACAAATCCTAAATAATTCATTAACAATGAAAGCTCTGGATGATAGATTTCTAATGTAGGGAAATGCACATTTACAGTTTAGGCTGGCAATTTGATTGTTAATGCATGAAGTAGCTGAACAACCATTTGTTGGTGTTGAATACGAGGGAATGACTTGAGGAGCTTTGCAGTAAACCTGATTAGAAACTCCATTTTCAAGACAAATCTTGTTTTGAGCCGGTCTGCAAAAACATTCGATAAATTTCTCAGAACGAAAACCAGTGTCAAGTAGTTCGAGTCCATCCAAAAAAACGATATCATATGTATAATGAAGCTTACCTCAAGTCAAAATTCAGTTTCTGGTTTCCCATCTCGAGGTCAGTAATACCATTGTTTTGCAAATCAATGAGTTGCAGACTTCTTCTGTAGCCACTGCTGAGATTTAATGTGCCACTGAGCTGGTTGTCCTTCAGTATTCTGTTAGACAAATTTCAGTAACTATGCATAAGCTGATTTTCATGAAAAACTTATTGAGATAAGCTCAAAATATAAACTGGTCTAATGTGAGAAGGATGGAGAAACATACACTGTCGTCAGATCTGGCAGACTAGAAGCATAAACCCATGAAGAAATATCAGAAGAATTGAAATTATTGTCACTCAGATCCCCGAAAGCAGTTTTTTCTTAAGAATCTGCAAATTAAAATCACTGCATAATGCATAGTGCATGATTTATGTGCCTATGTTTTACATATAGTTGTTGCATGAAATTAATCATGCATTTCTTGTAGATCATATGATTATAATTAAGTATTCGATCTCCTTTCAAAGTGATAAATAAAGTACAACGTAACGTCCGTGTTATACTACTTATACGTATGTGAGACGAGTCATTCCAATAAAATCTGGCAGAGAGCCGTTCAGTTCATTGTGAGATAAAGTGTCTGTATACAAGAGAGAATATTCAATTCAGCCAAAGAAATTCAGAGATAACATAAATTGTGAGATTGTAAGTGAAGCCACAATATACTTACACAACTTCCACTTTGCTCAGAAGGCTTAGGCTGCCAGGAATACTGCCGGATAGTTGATTGTGGTCGAAAATCCTGGCAAAGACAAGCCGTCCTTATAAATTTATAGACATTTACAAAAAATTTAAATAGAATAATTCAAAAATTACGAAATACATTTTTGCTCTGTTTGTTGCATTGGGCAAATTAACCATCAATCTACAAAAGAAATTAAGAAGCAAGTCCATGAGTTAGAATAAATCTCATCTATCAAATATAAAATGCATGAAATTGAAATCAAACATATCATGTTATTTACCTTTACAGAAGCCTCCTAATAATAGCCTCATCAAGATCAAAATGCCTGTTTGTGGCAAGAACAAGTACACGCTCTTTATCTTTTGTACGCAGACCATCCTAATTTACCATTAACTCATTCTTCATTTTACGCATAGCCTCGCGCTCACCAGGATTTTCACGTCTCCCTAACATACTATCAACCTGGCACAAGTACCACAACAATAAAACACAGATAACAATAGATGAAAGAAGTGGAATACAAATGAAATATGAAAATAATCTGTTTATTAATGTGTACAGAGGGAATTACAGAGAATGACGGAAACCTTGACTACCATAGAGTTTATGCTCCTATAGGAAGTTATTGCCTCCTATCCATAACTAACTTAAGTAAAATCCAAGATGCCTTCACATTCTCTCACTCAACCCCTTATACCAAAGACGCTTACAACTACTGATCCAAGGCACGCCACTTAAAATATACTAAACATTTTTTGGATCCACTATTCTATCATATTCTAATAAACTAAAAATATTTAAATAAATGTGACATTAAACTAGATAAAAAAATGAGTTTAAAACTCTTATGTCACAACAAATTTTGAAGTACTATTCACCGGTTTCCACAACAAATTGTGAAGTATTATTATTATTATTCACTATCTTAATGTTGAAGCAATGATTTCATCGATGAGAACAAGTGCCAAATAGACTATCAGGGTCAATGCTCTTCCCTGTCACTTGCAAAACATATTGTGCTAAGCACTGCTTATTAGCCATCTTTGGAGACAACCATTCAGCTTGTAGATCTTCATTGTAACTTAAGCTATCAAATATTGGCTAAAAGAGCTGTTAACAGCATCATAAACATACCCTTAAGTTATTCTAGCAGTACCACTCAGAGCATGCCAAGTTGTCAGTGCAGCAAAAGGAATGGCACTTGCTTCCTACAAAATGAAAAATTAAGAAAAAGCATGGCTTCATCCAAAGTAAATAAAGAGGGAAATTCATGGTTGGTTGTTAAATTAGAAAGAACTAATAATATTGTACAGTATCATGTACTAATGACTGTGATGGTAAAACTAATGAATTGGACATAACTAGTCAATCATCTAAAACTATTAAGAAGTAATTCTAAATGCTGACGGCACTAACCAGAAAAGAAGAAAACCAATTAACCATATGGTTAAACCAAACATAAGAAAATAAAACATAATAATCAACTTATCAAGTAACCTTCTGCAAGTAGGAAAATATTTGAAACTAACCTCAGATAGTGGAACAATTACATCAGTTTGCAAAGGAGTATAAACATCTTGGACATCAGGAACAATGAGCATCAGCGGCTACAAAATTTAAATTTTCAAAGTTAGCCTAACACTCATTTCCGTAAAACCATAATTACAAAGAGCTAGGTATCTAAACTAAGTAAGTTAGGTAATTGGCACTGTATCTAACAACATATTGTTCAATAATTTAGAGCATCTTTAGAACAATTAGAACAAAATTATAGACATCTTAACTTCTAAAAGGAAGCATATGATGCTCAGATTTCAGAATATCCAAGGACTGTCACAAGTTGCATTCCAATTTCGTATGTCAATACAACAAGGTTATTACATTCGAACAAGTTAGATAACATATTGGTTTAAACTCATAATTAAATATCGCACTTATGTGTCTTAGTTTATTGTTTTTATTACTGTTTTGGTGCATTTTACAGAGACATTCAACATTTTCTGGGACAACAAAGGCAAACTCAAGGATGTGTTTTGTAAGGATATAAATGGTTTAGTTGCATTGTTTGAAGCCTCTCAATTAAGCATAGAAGAAGATTATCTTGACAGTGCAGGACAGTTCTGCAGCGACTATCTTAACGAGTGGCTCTTGTGAAGCTTTTCATCAAACATTGCATGTGCATTCTTACTCCAAACTAAATTTAAAAAGAGATAGCCTAAAAACAAAACTATAAGATGAATAACAACAACGTTAGAGCTCATACCTATATCCCATGGCTTCAATGGAAGGTGAAAATCACCACTGAACAAAATCAGGACGAAAACTGGAATCTGCAATTGAGAACGAAATCCATCAAAACTCATAAAATTTGTTCACATATTTCCATGTTCGATGCAGAGGAATTTCCATTTCCAATGTAGCTCCAAGGATTGTTTTTATATTCTAGTAATAAAAATTTCATTAACTGAAATTTAATTAAATTTAATTTGTTTACTAAATGACTTATCCTATAGCAGCATAATGGTGTATATATACATATATTATGACTAATGATTTTAGTTCACATATATAAAATAGGATTTAGTGTATTGCAGGTTTATTATCCTATATCTATGTTCCTTTGGTGCAGCCACACCTCAGCAATATATATCTCTACCCTATATGCCTACCTGACACACAAAAATCAATATATTATGCCATTACATCTTACACCATATTAATAGCAGTGAACCATATATTACACCATATTAAAAGTTTCGAATAAATTGTTTCAAAAGTAAATCAATTGGAATCAACATAATCATTAAGAGATATTCACAAACTTTATACAAAGAAGTAGTTTTTAATAATTTATTTATTAGCTTAGTTAGGTAATAAGTTAATTACTAAAATTAATTTCAATTATAAGTTAATTACGGAAAAAGAGAAATGGTAGTTTAATTGTATAAAATAGACGAAGGAGTGAATTGCGGGGCAAATCTTCTTTGGCAGTGAGTTTGTTAGCTTCATCAACAAGAGGATCAACTACTGCCAAAGAAGTCATTGCCCAGTAATGCACCTATACATGAGTATCACTACTCCTTAACAAGCTTTGTTGATTCAAAAATAAAGAAAAATAATTGTGTATATCTAGTACTTCTCTTTTTTTGCAAAGCTTCATAACAACGTCCATTTTTTGCAAAACCCGTGATCAACGCAGTCCAAGAAACCGTGTTCTTAATTGGCATTTCATCAAACACCTTACACACATCGTCTATTCTGGATGCTCGAGTGTATGCAACAACCATCGATGTCCAAGACACAACATCTTTCTCGAACATCGAACTAAACAAATGAAACGAAGCATCGGGTTCCCCATATTTCCCATAACCATCAATCAAAGCATTGTTGAGAATCACATTGGAGTGAAATCCAACTATAACTGCCACCCCATGAACCTGTCGCAACCATTTAACATTACCCAAACAAGAACAGCAACCCACTATGCTACCAAGCGTGAACTCATCAAACATGAAACCTCCACAACCCTTTTGCATCACCCTAAAGAGTTTAACCGCTTCTTCGTAAGACCCATGACGTGTTAAACTTGATATAAATGAGTTATAGCTGACGAGGTTTTTCTGCGGCATTTTATCAAACAGTTTATGAGCTTAATTGAAAACTCCTCTTTTGCAGTAAAGAGAGAGCAGTGTGTTCCACGAACGTGTTGTCTTATTGGGAAGATCATCAAAGGCTTTGTGGGTACTCTCTAAGCAGCCACATTTGGAATACAAATCGATGAGTCCATTGGCGAGAAAAGCGCCAAAGAAAAGAGCGGTTTTGTGAGAGTGCAAGGCTTTGGCATGCTTCAAGCTTTTCGCCGTAACACAGTTTGAAATAAGAGACGAAAGGTTCTCAGTCGTGGAGCTCATAACATCGGTGTGGAACATCACCGTGTAACTCGTTAAAAATAACATTAGTAACATGTTTCATTAGTGGAGCGTAATGTATATTTGAGTTATCGTTTAGGGCAATCTTCAAATATTATAAAATAAAATCCTTCAAATATTATAAAATAAAATCCTCTCAAGATGGTTTTTAAAAATGTCTTAAATAAGAATAATATGTACTTAAATTATTTTAAAGAAAATAAATAAAAAATAATTGTTTACAAAATTTAAACAAAAACTATTATTATTCAATAAAGAAAAAAAAATTGTTGTGAAAATTATTTTAAAATAGATTTGTTTTTATATTATATATATATATATATATATATATATATATATATATATATATATATATATATATATATATATATATATATATATATATATATATATATATATATATATATATATATATATATATATATATATATATATATATATATATATATATATATATATATATATATATATATATATATATATATATATATATATATATATATATATATATATATATATATATATATATATATAATCAATATGTCAATTATATTTAATAATTTTATTTAATAATAGTAAAAATATAATTAAATAAATAAACTTATATTTTTACAATTATATCATAAACTTATATTTTTAATTTTTCTAATTTTTACAACCATAAAAAATTATTAAATAAATAAACTTATATTTTACAATTATATAATAAACTTATATTTTTGATTTTTTTTTTAATTTTTACAACAATAAAAAAGTATTAAATAAATAACTTTTCTTTAAAAAATAACTAAAAAAAACACAATTAATATTATAAAACTTTTTTTAAGAAAAACTAAGATATAATATAAAATTAAAAAATGTCTCAAAACATATTCTTGTTTTATAATTTTATTTATTAATAGTAAAATCATAATAAAAATTAGAAATAAACTAAATAATTCGAAGCAAAAGTTGCAGAAACGTTTACAGCAAATTCCGCGGCAAATTCCGTAGCAATTCCTGCAATATTTCCAGAGAATTTTGTGGTTTCAATTTATAACTAATTCCTACGAAAAGTGTCGCAGTAAAATCCGCAGGAAACTTTATTTTATTATTATATTTAAAGTCGCAGCTAAAGTCTCAGAACTTCCTGCGAAATTTGCTGCTACTTTAACTTTTGCAGGAAAAAGTGTTTCACAATATAAAGACGTAGGAGAATTCGCAGTTAGAGCTGCGGAAATATTTCCGCAGGAAATTCCGCAGGTAATCTTTGTATTTCTTGTTGTTGTTAAATAACTTTCAAAAAATAAAAAATATATGAGACGTATTCAGTTTGTGGTATTACAACGGTGAAATACATAACTGTAATAAACTTAGTGTTACCAAAGGCGTATTTTGTAATAGTGTCAAATTTCACCATATTTTTTGACTCAATTCTTATAATAATTAGGAGTGATTTTGTAAATAATAAGTTAAATATACATTTCTTTAAATTTTCTTGTTTTTAATGGAACTAACTTAGTTCCCTTTTGTTTCACTTTGTATCATATTTTTTCTTCCATTCAATATATCAACCTTGATTAAAAATAACATAGTTTTTCTCATTTATAAGTGTAATAATTTGACTTATAACCTTTTGATTTAAATTTTAAATATTTTTTAGAATAATTGTAAAATGATTATTAATGTCACTTTAATTGATAAAATTTTCCTTCTCCATTTTTTAAAAGTTGTTTTTATTTGTATATTGTCAATGTTAAATAATCATAAATTTAAATTGTTTTTTAATAAAAAAATATTTGTGCCATTTTTATTTTTTATAATAAATTCAAATTAAAATATTATAAATATTTTGAATTTTATTTAAAATATATTAAAAATACTTAAATTTACTAATTGGCTATTACAGAATTGTATGTTTTAACATTTTTTTAATGACTCATATTTGTCATTATAATGTAGAAAATTAAAGAATAAAAAAATTATCGTAAATTACAGTAAGTATATTATAATACTTCTCATATTTGTCTAATTAAATTTTAATTATTAAATGTAAGAATTTACCTTATAACCTCTAGATTCAATTTTCAAATAATTTTGAGAATAATTGTAAAATTATAATTAATATCACTTTAATTAGTAAAATATTTCCTTTTCATATTTTAAAAGTTGTTTTTATTTATATGTTGTTGGTGTTAAACACCATAAATATAAAATTGTTTTTATTCCAAAATGGTTTGCACAATTAATAATCTTGATACACAATTTTGGATAATTATTCACTTAACAATAAAAAAAATAGTTTTTACACTACTAAAATTACTCTATTTTCCTGCGGATTTTGACAAAATTACCGCAGGAAACACGTTTGCTGCAATTTTTCCTGAGATTATTCGTTCCAGCTAAAACGTCTGTGGGTAATTAACATAGTAGGTAAAGTCACAGGAAAATGCCGCAGGAAAATGTCGCAGTAAAAAGTCACGGGGCAATGTTGCAAGTAAAACAGCTAAATTCGCAGGTAATACCGCAGGAACTTTAACTTTTGCAGGAAAAGTCGCAGCAAACTGAAATAATATAATTAATTTCACAGGTAATTTCTCTCTCATGTTTTTAATTTTTATTATTAATTGTTTTTAATTCATATTTAAAATAATATAATTAATGTACTTAATAATAATATAAAAATAAAAATCTAATTTGAATAAGTCAATATAACACTAATCACATTCAAATTTTTAAAGTCAATAACAAGTACTTTTAGAGTTACATTACTAAAAATGACATAATCAAGTTACTAATAATCACTTGTCCAACCAAATTAATAAGAAAAAACAATGCAATTTCAAACTAGATAACAAATGAATTAAAAGAATAGAAGAGACAAATAACGATGCAAAAACTAAGAAACTCCAACTACAATTTATAGCTAGTAGTGATTGATGTTCATGTTTCTCTAAGCTTCCCAACCTCTCAAAAGCATAGCGCGAGCGACACAGTTGAGTCCAAGAGTGAAAGCTCCCATTCGCAAGTCGCAGTTGTGAGTTTTACACATTCCTTTTATGTTCTTGAAAGCTCTAGTCATATACCTTTTTAGCTCAAAATCTTCATCCCACATAAATCCTTGAATATTCTGCAGAAGTCACATAGGAAAATTTAAAATATCTTAAACATGTTTTCAAGAACTGTTAATTAGCTTCTGAAATTTTCACTTATCGAGTTGATCATTACCCGGACCCATTCGAAATAGCTTACAGTCACTCCACCAGCATTCGCATAAATGTCGGGTAATATAATAACTCCTATCTTAGACAGAATATGCAACAAACAAATCATTTCAATTTTATATCAGAAATTGATTTCCCATATTCCCCACTATTCTGTAAATATTTTGAATATGATAAATTATTACAAGTCTACACTGATTTACAAATTATACTCAAATTTGGGATAATTACTACCATGTAGAAAAATCTTTAAATCCGCCACTGACAACTGCTTTTCTTTTCTTTCCTACAACGGCTGTACCGGTGTCGACGGCAGCAGCAACAGATTCGGTTGGAACACTTCTAGCCTTCAAGTACTTGCCAACACCACCGCTGCCAACCCCGTAGCTCCAGACTCAGATGTTCCAGCTCCAGGATTACTATACCATGAGCCAACTTTATCCTGAAATATATGCCAAAACAAGTCCAAGGGATTAGTTCACAAAAACCTTGTAAAAGTGATATAAAATATAACCAATAATAGGCATCTCAAATATTAGGAAACAAACATTTTCTTCATCATGTGCATTCTTCTCTTCGGCATTAGCTTGCTCTTCTTCCTCATCTGGTTCGGTGTAAGGATTGACAAAAGTTGTGACACCTGTTATTTTAATTTCGTCCTGCACGACAAAAATTATATAAGCATATGATCCATTATATTAGTTGACAACATGGCATGCTTGAACAATGGTTAGTGAATCATTCAGAAGACTTCAAATGTCCCAACAAGCGTTGTTAAATATCAATTCTTCAAATCATGAGATAGTCCAAAACCTCAATTTTCACAAATGAAAGTGTAAAATATTGTAATCCTACGTGCTGTACAGGGATGTATAGACTTATTCTGTAAAATATATCAGAAATTGATTTCCCATATTCCCCACTATTCTGTAAATTTTATATCAGAATAGTGTAGACTTATTGAAAAAGTGGTATATTAAATATCATGGTATGGTGGTGGTGGTGAATAAATACCTGCATGGCGAATTTCATATTAGAAATTGATTTCCCATATTCAGCAAATAGAGCCTCCGTTCCAAAAACCACTCCTAGTCCAGTGGCGGCCTCTCTTCCCAAGGAACCTCCAAGATCCTACAAGCCAAATATTTCAAACTGATTTCTTGAATCTTGGATAGACAAACTATCATTGTGTACACAAGAAAACTATGACCACTCAAATAGGACCTTAAAGCTAGAGTTGGTAATGATTGTGTAATATTATTATACACTTACAATAGGCTTGCCGGTTACCACTGCCGGTGAATGACCATGAAACTTAGAATACTCATCAAGCATCCAAGCCATTGTCTGAGCATTGGTTCCCATATCAAGAGCAGGAACATCTCTATGAGTGCCAATGAGATCATGAATTTTGAGTGAAAACACGAGTGAGACGTTCCAACTCATTTGCTAATTTAGATGCCTTCTCTATAATGAGGAGAATCAAGTCAGTTTCATAGTTGTTTGGAACCTGCAGTGAACACTTAATAAATATAAAAAGCACTTGAAGAGCAAATGAAAATGATAGTGGTGTGAGTAATGTTTCATTCACACCTTTTTTCCTTGCCCCATTTTTTCTCAACATGCAAGTGAGGGTGTAAAGTATGGAACAAGAAAAACTGGTGCAGAAATACCTGAGTTGTAGTTGAAGTTTCTTAGAAACACTTGTAAATTTACAAAGGGTGACTTGTACAACAATTCAAATGAATGCAATACCTTTTGAAGAATGTGAGCCATGCGCTCGAGACCGAGGCCAGT